GGCGCCGCGCGGGGGGCTGAGCTCGCGGCGGGAGCCCGGGCCGCTGGCGCAGCACTGGAGCGAGGTGTCGCTGGGGCAGCCGGGCGACTCCTCGAACTCCTGGATGGCCGGGATCAGGATGTCGCTCACGGCCGTCACTACCCATCTCACGAGGCCCCCCAGGATGGGGCCCAGCCCCTCCGCGGAGACCTGCGCACAACAGACATGGCGGCTAGGGCCTTCGTCTTCCTCACCGGGGCCTTGTCCAGGCGCCTGGCCACGTCCTGCAGCCAGGCCACCGGCCCACTGCCACTGGGGGGGGAAACCCCACCTCAACACGGGGAGAACATGCAAACTCCACACAGACAGGCAGCCCGGCACCGCATCGAACCCAGGACAGCTGCACCACCTTCGTTTAGTCAAAGTGCAACACCTACAGAGATCATAACAGCAGCTGATAAAAAAGGAGTGCACTGTTCTATCAGAAGACTTACTGTTATAAATCATACTAAACCTTGCCCTGTACTCAATTAGCTCAGGCTGCAGTCTTACAGAACCATGGAAGAAAATAAAAGGCCATTTTCAGAGCAAGCAGCACTGTGCAGCGGGGATCAGGGCTCTCCTCAGGACTAGAAGGTTGCGGGTTCAAACCCCAGGGGAGGAGCTGCTGTGCCCATGAGGTAGCCCTTCACTTGGACCTTCAGCTTTGGCCAAGTAAGTCGCTGTCATTCAGCCGAACCGAACCTGGGCTTGCAGTTAGTGACGTGTGGCAGTGCGCGGTAGGCTGGAAGAATACTCACTCTCTGTCTTAGCTGTTCTTCTATGCTCGTTTTTCTGTGAAGAGACAAGGCACAGCTGACACCAGTCATCCTGACTGAGCATTCAGACACCACGGCGGTTATCTGTGAGTGCTGACACTGATGTGGCCTCTCCACATATTCACAGCTCTGCTCTGCTCTATCCAGAATCAGTAGGGAGCTGGACAGCTTTCGAGTAAACATCTGGACACATGTAGTAAGACTCTGCACCTGCTGGAGCAGGTATCCTGTCTCTGTTTTGTTAAAGCAGACACTGATTTCATCAATTAAAAAAATCATCCCCCTGCATGCCAGTACTCCGCCATGATCATCGGGAGCTAATGGACCTACATTGATCACAAATGTGCTGATCAGCTCTTTAGTCAGCAATTTTGGGTGTTTGAAGAACTCGAGATAGGAAGGTGTGTGTATAAAATTTTAGGAGCATCTTGGAAATTGCAGGTTTCTCAGTCCTGATCTTGGAGGATCCCTGTCTTTGCTGGTTTTTGTTGCAACTAGAACTGCCCACATCCACAGTGGGAGAGACACTGTATCAGGCACGCCCACAGTGGGAGAGACACTGTATCAGGCACGCCCACAGTGGGAGAGACACTGTATCAGGCAAGCCCACAGTGGGAGAGACACTGTAATCAGGCACGCCCACAGTGGGGGTGACACTGTATCAGACACACCCACAGTGGGAGTGACACTGTATCAGACACGCCCACAGTGGGAGTGACACTGTAATCAGACATGCCCACAGTGGAAGTAACACTTTATCTGACACACCCACAGTGACTCTCATGCCTGCAAGAGAAATCAAGCAACAGGGAGCCAGGATACTGGGTCAAACTCACAGGTGGGTCAGATGCGTGCTCTGAGACTTCTGGGACGGCTCTGAGGGGCAGCTCGTCTCTCCTGGGGACGAAGACGTCTCTGTTGCACGAGACGGGAGAGCCGAGGAACGATGGGTCTCTGTCTGACTCACTGCCGAGGAAGAACAGGAGAGAGTGAGCGACGTTCCTTCTCGGTTTCACTAACCCAGCACAAGTCAGAGGTCAGTAAGAACGACCTTCTGGACTTGGAACAAACCGGCACCACACATGAGCGCGAGCCCCAGGGGTCCACTGGTGCATCGGACTGGTCTTGTCCTCAGTGTCCTTAAACATCAAATCATAGGAAAAGCAAAACAGGAGGAGACCGGGGGAAATCAGCATGCAAACTATCGTAGTAATTAACCGCAATAACTACGTTCCTGAAATACCCCGAGAGTCTCTGGAGACCCCTGAGAGTCTCCAGGATACCCGAGAGATTTAGGGATACCCTGAGGGTCTCTGGGATACCCTGAGACCCCCGGGAAGCCCTGTTTTCTGAGCAGATCTCCATGGCCGTGGAGGTCAGCCAGCAGTTGCAGGAGACAGACGGGCCGAGTCTCACCTGCCTCGCTGTGGACACGGGCTTCCTCTGGGACTGCTGCCAAGCGCATGTCCTGCTTCGGCGCCTTCTGTAGCACAAGACACGCCCTGTTAGAAAGGCTCCGACACACAGGGATCATTGTGTCATAACTATCTGACGGGTGACTTCAGGACCACAGACTGACATCTGATCCAAAGGAAGAACAGACCACCTGAAGGAGCAGTGACTGTCTCATGTTGGGTCATGGGGTCAGGGGTCAGGGATTCTAACTTGGGACCCTCATGGTGATTTAGAATGGTTTAGGGATCAGAGATCAGGGGTCAATGGACAGGGATACTAAACTGGGACCCTGTCCTGGCAACTTAAAGTGGATCATGGGGTCAGGTGTTAGGGATTCTAAGCTGGGACAGTCCTAGTGACTTAGAGGTCAGAGGTCAGGGGTCAGGGATTCTAAGCTGGGACCCTCCTAGTGACTCAGAGGTCAGAGCAGGATGACTGTTGCCCCTCCAGGTGAAGAGTCACCCTGCTTCTCTCTGCTGTCGACAGGCAGCTCTGCAGAAAAGCGCTTCTTGTAGGGCGGCGGTACCTTCTTGTCCCAGCGCCTTTCCAGTCGCAGCTCCCTGTGGACCTCCACCTCCAGCTCCTGCAGCTGCTGACGCAGTCTCTCGCGCCAGGCCTGCGCCAAGGTCAGAGGTCAGAGGTCAGCATGCCGCCGCACTGACTCCTGCAGCCAGGAGCTCCAGAGTGGTGGAGATTCTTAAACCAGGCTTCTCAGGAGAGCCAGCCCTGCGGCCATTACTGGTGCTAACACATGTGTCTGAAGGAGCAGGCTAAAATCATATCAAACCATCAGACTGCAGCTACACACTCCCAGTCAAGTACGACCTCCAGACTCTTTCCAAAAACAGCACAGCTAACCAGGGCAGTGGGATCTGTGCTCACGCAGACCACAGTAAGACACAGTAATGTTTGTCAGGGTGTCCACTGCACAGGAAAATGATCATTAATCTAGAACTCAAATAGTTATCACAGATACTAGTGTACTGTAAAAGGGCACTTGGCTCAGACAAGATGTAGTCCAGACAAGACCAACATTACCCAGAAGGCAATGGGGACTTCACAGTCACCTGACCATGAATGGAACATTTAAAACCATGATCCAGAGGCATCTAGAGATGTTCGTCATCTCCCGGCTGGAGATGGAACAGGCCTGTGGGCTTGATGAATATTTACACACTGCAGTGAGGGTGAGGAGGGGTGTGGGAGGGAGTGACGCTGTCGCCTGTCTCTTACCAGCTCCGAGTAGCTGTGGGTGTTCTGGTTTTCAGTCCTGCCATTGCGGGCCCTTCAGACAGAGCACAGAGCAGGTCAGTATACGGGCCGTGAGAATGAATGGATAATATTATATACAGGTCAGCTCCATCTGTCTAGAATATAATATACAGGCCACCAGTCTAGCTAGAATATAATATACAAGTCAGAATTCTAGCTATTTTAAGCAACAAACATGGTGATTAGCGCCATCTCAGCACACAGACTTTCTCAAGGTTACAGCAGATAACCCTCAGGACCACTTGAGATCTGAACCCACAGCCCTAACCTGAGGCCTTAAGTGCTGTCCTGACCTCTTGCTCTGTCAATCTGTGTGTCCAAGCTGGGGCCAGTCACCTTCCTGTTCATTACTGTCTACCTGTCTCTCAATCGATCTAGCTGTGATCTACACAACTGCCTGCATCTTTCCTTCTTGATTACTTTGGCCTGATGGTAAGTGAAGTTCCCCTGGATTGGATCTGACCCCTTCCTGTTTTCCATCAGCCCACATGTTAGCATGAGTGCACATGAGGGCCCAGTGCTCCAGGCTCCCCAGCGTCCCTCCTCCTCCTCACCTCCAGATCCGTGCGGCACTCCCGCAATCCAGTAGCCACTCCCGCAGGTGGCACACAGTTATTCCTGGTGGGATCTGTTTCTTCTCCTGCAGGACCAGGAACTTCCTCACCAGTTCCTTCTGTGAAATCCAGGGAGTCGGTCAGCAAGGCAACCCCCTACGGTTGGGAGACGACAAGACCCCGCTGTCGGCGGCTCGATCGGGCTCCCACCCCCACCTGCTCTCGCAGGAAGCTCTTCTCCCAGTCCAGCTTCACCGTGGTCAGATACTCCCGGTATTGGTTGAACTCCTTAGTGGTGCAGATCACCTTC